CGCATCTTTACCTTATTCGTAAATAGAGAAGTTCATCGTTGAAAACGGGCTTTTTTACAAAAGGCACTTCCCACTCGCATAACTTCAGTTTTTTAATAGACAAATGCATTTCACAGCTAGTCGGTGAACCTTACGTAGTCAAGAAGTGGGATCATCCAAAACAGGTGGCAATGCTTAATAGATATCGGTGACATCTCAAAACGGCCGAAACCCCGTCGACTGTTTTTGCCAAAAGAACTAGTGAGCTGCTAATTCCTTCAGGAGATGAAATAAACGCCACGGATGGCCAGATCAGTGCAACTGGAAAAATAATCTTTTTTAGCCGATTTGCTTTTTAAGGGAGCATTTTCAGCGAGCGAGATGCGGAACATAAGTATAATGAAGCTCAAAAACACACCGACCGTACACAGCCGCTTTAAAATGGCAGAAATGCTAAATTTAGTGCCAGAACAGCAAATATAAATAAATCGAACAAGCATGGAAAAAGAAGGGCAAGCACAGTTTTATCCGAGAACGCTATTTTAGCTAAACATTATTCACCTATCCCCTCCCTTCTTTCTCCCCATTCCCCGTCCCAGACCATGTTGAAAGTGCAAAGTGAAACTGTATTATTTGGTCTGGCAAGCAGCAAAACATGGTTTCTGGTCGTTTTTAAAACCGTTGATGACTAGCTCGGTGAGGACTTTTACAACTGAAATTCCTAACAGCTTTTCATGAAACGCCCATTTTTATCTTTAGCAAACATCTAACATTTTGGTCCTCAGCAAATACCTTCGGCGGAGAAAAAAAAACGGTTTTATGGAATTTCAGGATGAAAGGAAGAAAATGAATACCAGGACCACCAGCAGACTGACACCAGGCACTGCAAGGCGAACGTTGGAAGAAGGAAGTTATGAAAAATATCAATGAGCAATCATTGTGGATATCGCATTTTAAAAATGTTTCTAGGAATTCCCCAAAGGCCGGGCACAGCTATGCTAAGCCCTTCGATAATGCGCTGAATACTGCTACTGCCTGTTCGATGTATGTGCACCACCTCTCTGGGAATTGCCAGACACAATATCCATCTCTTGTAGGAGGAAAAATAAGCCAAAGAACTGAAAATTTTGAAAACTGGCGATTGTCGATAAAAAAATCTTCAAACATTTAACATGTGTCCGGGAAAAAGGGGAGGGTACATTCGTTTCTGCCTTTGTTTGACCAGTCAGTGGCCACTGCTGTCCTCGATCAATAATGAATGACCCAAGGTCACAGCGACTGACACAACTGTTTTCGGCAAGAGATGACCATTTCTAATTATTCGCGTGGAGATAGGCATATGGTGAAAGTACTACAACAGACAAACGCAGAAAACGAGCGGCAGAAGACAAAATGGTATGGTACAGTTCGTAGAAGAATTACAACAACATCGCCTTTAGGTCGATTTCAAGTACCAAATTTACAGATGCCTAGGCGGCAGCAATCCCCATTTCCCAATTGTATCTAGCAAGATTATTGGGCAAGGAATCTAGGTATTACTAAGAAACAGCTTAACTCCGAGCACTAAAAAGCCGATTCAGTAACAGAGACAATAGTGAAGAAGATTATAATAATGATGATAGTAACAATGACAAGAACAAAAATAGTAATCGAAATAATAAACATTGTTACGATGAATTTGATAGAAATAACAGCACTAGCAATATTTGGAAGGAAATGTGTAGCAGTCCGTAGGTGAAGGTTAAACCCAGGCTGAAACGCACCAGGCGAGCCGGTGCGATCATGCATTTTTGCACAATACTTGAATTAGGTCAACTGCTGT